CAGAAAGATAATCTTATTTCTTACTTCAAAGCCACAGTTCTGATTCTTTTCCAATTCATATATTTCTAAATTCCAGAATTAAAATGACAGGACTTTCATGCATCCAAGGGCCAGCATAAAGCAAAGTAAATAATGATGAGGTTTAAGCAATACATCATCCAAAACTGCCATCCTCTGCCAAAAGAATGTAACATTTTGCAGCTTGGTTGGAGAAAAAAAAAATGTGAACACCATCAGAGAGCAATCCAGCACCAATATGTCAGCACTCACTTCTTTATCCTTTCTCCAAAGGAAGCCACTTCATCAAGGACATTCTGGACACTGATACACACCTCCTGGATGGCATAGAGTTTATTCATAAATCCTTTTTTTTCACTATCCTGAAAAATAAAAAAGGGAATTGCAACAATAATTGAGTGAAAACTTTTTTGACCATAGTAATTGTCCTAAATATTTCTGAGGTATATTTTAAAATCATACATATTACAGACATACACAGAGCTCAACAGTAAAAAGTCAGAATTTAAAAACTCTTACCACATGGTAGTATCTTAGGCTTCATCTAGACTATACGTCTGCTTTTTTGGAATTTTTTTTTGAAAAAGCGGACGCACTCTTTTGCCATCCCTGTAAATCTTGTTTTATGAGGAATAAGGGATGTGGCAAAAAGCATTTTTTTTTCTGAAATTAGGCACCATGTAAATGCACCAAATTTTGGAAAAGCCTCTTTCAACAGTAAAGCAGAAAAAGATACGCAATTTGAATATTGCAAATTGTGTTTCTTTTTCTGACTTACCCTTGCAGAGAAGACCTAGACTTAGATACTACAATTCTTTCCCTCTAGGCTGTCTACGCAATATTCAAAATATTAACTGGGTACACAATGGAGCATAGCTTAATTTGCCATTGTAACCATTTTCTAAATACATATTTCTCAAGTTCCGCTCACTGGTATATTATCTTGAGGATGCCAATTTCATATCCTGTGAACTCTGGTCACCGATAAGAGTCAGGCAACTATATTACAGCTCAGATTTCTGAGCTCACTTTCTTCAGTCAATGTGGGTTTCCACATTACGAGATAAAAACTCCTTTGGAAGTACAGGGAGTAACGAACCAGACACACTTCAGGTCCTGAGGACAGGCTGCTGACCTCAGAAAGTAACCTGTCAAGTTCCATATAAGATTTTTTTCCCCCTTCTCACACCATCAGGCAGGTATTACTTTCAATTGTATTGACACAATATTGGGAAATGCCAAATTAATCTGAATATATTAGGAAGGTTTGCAGCTCCTCCTTTCAGGTCTGAATAGTATAGGCACACAAAGAAATGCTTACACTGGTGGCCCCCGCTGCACTCACTATGCTGTTCTCATCCATTAACATTCCAGTAAAACATATAGCCTGTTAGGGCATCCTGATACACCCACATCATGGCAGGTGCAGTCTCCCCAGACAAACGTCTGTGCACTATTCAGCAGCAGACAGACATGTGTCTAAATTGTCAGGCATATCAGTGACCTCAACAATCAGTCCAATGAATACAGTCAATGTTCCTTTTGCCCCAAGTGTCATTGTACATACAGTCTACATAAGGTGTTGCTACAACTTTCTTATGACATGCACTGTATGCTGCTTCAGAGGCTTTTAATGAGTCAGCTACAAAAAGAAAGATAGATTCTGGGAATGTCCAGGAAAGGGTATTCCATATAGTAGTTTGATTACTTGCATAGTTAGGTTTCCAAATTGTATTGGATTTTGATTCAAAGAGCAATTAATTTATCTACATGATAAGCATCCAGGATTATCACTTCATGTTGTCACTGTGAGGCCTAGAACATCTAGCTGCACAGTCAGCTTGTGTCTAATATCCTAGGACTAACATGGCTATGACAAAGTGGGTCAGGCAATATCTTTTATTGGGACCAACTTCTTGGTGAGAGAAACACTTTCAATCTTGCCCAATTTTGGAGAAGAGCAGCTCTGCGTAAACGTGAAAGCTGCAGTTGGTCCACTAAATTATATTACCTGACCCACCTTTCCTCTGTACAATCAGTATGAAGCAATGTCAATAGCTATAAGCCTGGTTGAGAGTTCTTGTTTTCATCAGAGTGTGAATGTGAGTGAGAAAAATTACCACATTATTGTGACCACTTGCTTTTGAAAACTGGGAATCATCTCTTACAAGTTGTTATCATGCTGATGGTTTTACTAAGAGCAATGTTTTGTCAGATTTTTCTTTTCCTCCTGAAGAAACAGTCAGCTGAACAGATGAAACATACACACCCAAAGGACCACTCCTCAGGACATAACATTTCATGTTGATACTCTCCTCCCCTGGAGAATTCCCACCCAGTAGCTACACAGCATCAGATCTACATGCCATCAAATTCTACCACTGAGAAATGCTGCATGTAACAACTCTGCCACTGCAATGGCAAAAAGTCATTTTCTTGTGGCCTCTCTCAGAACACTTGTGATTTGGATGTTTTTAAGTAAGCCCAATATATTACACTGTCATCCTGCCTAGAATGTATTTTCTTAAGAGTGTTTTATTTAAAAAGATGCTTTTCAAGGTTAGTAAAGTTTTGAAAAGCAAAAATGTTTGGGTAGATTGTAATGGAAGATGTAAAGTTAAAACAAAGTAAAAATTAACTATTTATTGTATCTGACCCAAAACCACAGAGCCCTGCAAATCTATGGATATCCACAGCTCATTTTTGTGGATACAGATGTGCATGCAGATACATTTTATATTTGTGCAAGACTCTAGATAATCAAATTGCTCTGTGTTGCATTCTATCTATCTATTACTTTTTCCATTAATGTTCAATAGTTTATTAGTGGAAAATACTTTGGTGTCATTTTCGGTTTTTCCTTATAAACCAGTTCGAATAAGGGACATAATCTAGCATTTAAACATCCAATGTTTCTCAAGAGACACTGTGTTACCCTAGAAAAGGGGGCTATATTATAGTTTGGTTCAGTGGATTCCATTTTGAAAGACAGTTCCTTTTCTCTACATGATGGAGGTTTTCCCGCTCAAACTGTTAATTTGCACACAGTACTACCTTGTGTACCCCTCTCAAACAGGCTGTGCACCCGTTACTATCTGATGCACTCAGCACCAAAAAAGGTGCACTCAGCCCCTAGGAAGCTGCACTCAACACCTAGGTTCATTAACATACTTTTCCCGCCTCTGGGCCAATAAAAGCCCTGAGGTATCAAGGGCTCGGGTCCTTGGATATTCCCCAGCCTTGGATCTACTCATTTGTTGCTCCTCTGTATTGTTTGCCTGAAGCTTGGATACCATCTATGTAATCAGAGGCCTGGACTTTTGAACTGTGCTACCCTTGTGTGGTAAATACCCACAAGGTTTTCCTGTTTGCATTGGTCACTGGAACCGGGACTCTCTTTTCCTATCATCTTCATTGGATTACCCGCCTACTGGATCAGACGGTGTTGTCGAAGGACGGATCAGACTGTGTCCAGGTGGGATTCCTTTCCAGATCGAGGATCCATATCGGGGTCGTCTCTTCACAGAGGACTCACTACCGTGGGATCTCCCTGCTTGTCCTCCCCAGAGGCTTACAAATAGCCCGAGGGTTGAAGGTCGCAGGCATCGATCGCCTCAGGCTTTGTATATACCTTATGTATCTAGAGAACTGTTCCATCTCCTTTCTTCGGGTTAGGGAGGGTTGGTTTGTTGAAACTTGCTGTTAACTGTATATCTGTTCCACTATTCTACTCAAATACGTGGTTTGGCCCTAAATTGTGTATGCCTGATTTGTGGCTAGAGATCCACCGATGATTAGATACGGCTCTCAGGTCGGATCTTTCTTCTGTGTAGGGACTCCTTCTCCCCATTTTATATCCACACCATTGGCCACTTTATTTTAAATTGCTTGTCCATGTCCCAAGGGCAACAACTGGTTCAAAAATTTCAGTGTCAAGATTTCTTCTGAAGATGTTAGAAGAATTGAGACACAAAACATGGGTTGGCTGTAATGCAGCAATCATATGAGGGATATATATGGCAAAAATATTGCTAATGATTTAACGTATTTTAAAAGCTGTAAATATAAAACATGTATTTACATGGGTCACAAAAGATGTAAGGTTTTTTTGAACCCACTTATAAGAGTCAGATTGTATCCTCAATTTGTGAAGTTAATAATGAGCTGCTGTTAGTTGAAATAATGTATTAATCAAGCAAAAATATTCTCTGATGATCAAAGTCATTGAAATAAAATGTGTGCCGAGCTATACAGCATTACTGAGTCTGAGTGACTTCCTAGATATTTATTTCATTCTTTTCTAGCTTGCCATTGACAGCAGTAATTCACTGCAGATACACTAGAGCACCTTTGGATTTACAATATATCCAGTGTATTTCATGTAGCCCAGAAAATGCAGATTAACGTTTTACTTTTCATATCACTACAATGTCATTATGAAAGAAGTCTGCACTATTCACTCAAGCAGAAATCACTCATGCACTATTGGATGAATATCAAAAAAATCTGTTTTTAATATAGGAGGAAACAAACAAATCACACAAGTCATAGCTGCTTTCTGCTCTTTATACTATATGTAGTTCTGCTTCTTTGGTTTACATTCTCAGATGCTGCTCTTGTTATAAATGTGTCTTGATTTATAATCAAATTATGAGAGAAACGAATTATATCAATATAATAAAAAATGCCCTTTGTGACATCTCCAAACCTCAGCAGTGATTACTTTAGGAGATCCTCTGGCTATTTTTCTTTACAAATATTTTACAAGACAAACTTGTACCATTTTTGAAAGCACATCTGTTTTAAATTATTCCCTTAAAACAGAGAAAGCAAGAGAATCACCATTTCTTCCCCCTACCTTCTGAGCTCAAAGGAAATTTGACGACATATTCTGAGGCAGGCATAGACAAAACAGCAGAGGAAAGACGAGGTGGTCAAAGGATCAGAGTTTGGCTTTGTTTAAACTAATTCCACATGCCCCTGCTCCAAAGATTTGTAGAGAAAATAATCTGGGATAGGGAAAAGCTGCACTTATTTTTTTCTCTAGTAAGATGCTGTGTTAGCAAATAGAACATATGAGCCACCTTCAGTGAACCAAGGTCCTTACTAATCCATTTTTCAAACACTACTGGCATTTCCTTTCCAGACAAAGATAGACTGTGACGGGAATCAATTTCATCATTTGTATGGCTACAATTGCCAAGTTTCTGGAAATAATTGTCATTTAAATACTGGATAACATTTATTATATGAAGCCAACAACAGTTTTATTACTTTTTAATTTCTATGATTTGTTTGTTTGCAGTAGGCTTAGGGTAACTCAAAAATCAAGATGGTTGGCGAGGGATGGGCTTAAGAATAA